CAACTTTTTAATTTTCTTAAAGAATACTTATATAATTTTTATTCTGATAACATTCTTAAAGAAGTCACAGAATTTAAATATGTACTTATAGCTAGTTTCTATTTGTTGATTAAACAAATAGTTGGTATCAGACCAAAATTTCTTATTAACCTAATTCAAAAACACAATTTTAAAACAGATAAAGCTACAACAATTCCTTTTAATATTTAAGAAAAAAGTTTTAAAAAACTTATTTACAATCTTGCTTGGTTATATTTATACCTCTCAAATAATTATTAAGCAATCAACTATACAAAATTTGCCAAAGATATCAAACTCAGATCTAAAAGGTTTAAGATAACATCTGAAATTACTGATTTCAATAAAGAATAATAATAGAGATGTGGCAACTTAGTGAAGTGGATAAGTTGTCAACCTTCCAAGTAGTAAGTTGGGAGTTCAAAATCTACTGACAGCTAAAATTTAAAAAACTACTTATGTTATATTGGTATTACAGAAGGTAAGCAGTATTATAGCAATGGCACTTTATTGATCAGTTGGGATCAGTACCTATAACACAGTCATACCAAGTGACTAGCAAGTTATGGAGCATCTGCACAATATTGAAGTTATATAAAAGAATGCAAACTGGTATTAGACAATGCAAACATATGATAAGTTCTCATAGTCATATAAATCTATAAACTGAGAAAACCAGAGCCCACTTGATAAGACTCGAGTAAAGAGATAGCACAGATTTTAACAGTACTACTGTAAAAATTAGATCTAGAAAATAAATATTGATGTTGAAGGCATTAGATAAACAAGAACCTCAGATAAAAGGTACTATTAATCAGGCTGCTAAAAGTCTCGAACTAAAAGAAAAGGATCTTGGAGAAGCAGACCTTTAGGGTATCAGAAACAGAATACAGTTCTTCTAGGCTATCTGGATTGAGAGTCTGAGGTCTAAAGCAGAATATAGCTAAGTACTAAGGATATGCTATGAAGTCGATATTAGGGTCTAAATGAACTTTACAAAAGCAAACTCTGTTAGCAAAAATTAAATATGAGTAGTTGGTTAGCAGGAGGCCTTCTGAAGCTTTACAGTCAGGTAACATATTTTGAAATATGTAATGGCTTAACAGATGTACAGACAGGAAGGTCAGAGTTAGATTAGATGACATCTAATTAGGTGTATGGAAGCTTGTATGCTATCTGCTAATGTAGTATAGGGGTAACCTTATATAAGTTATATAATTATAATTAAATTTACAATAAAGGCAGTAGTTGCTAATAACTAATAGGCTTAGTAAAAGCAATAAAAAAAAAAATAAAAATAAAAATAAACAAAGAACAACAATATTTTTCTATTAAAATAAATAATTAATTTAATATCAAACTGAATTTTAATCTTCTAAAATCTTTTTTTCTTAACAAATATAATATACCATTACTTAAAAACTCACTCAATAATTTTAATAAATGGTTTGAAAAAGCCTTTTCATTATATAGGCAACAATTTTCCAATACAATTAACAAAACCAAAATATATAACTACCTTAAATATAAATTCAGACAACATTTTATCTTGTATTTAAAAAATCTTCTGCCAACTAATATCAAATTCATAAAACCAACTAATCTTTAAAATGATGTTATAAAACTTTTAAACATGCTAATTATCATGTACTTACCTATACAGACTCTAAATGTTCCTATCTTAAACCAACTAATAAAAAAGAAAAAAACAAAAAAAGCTGATACTAATTCAAAAAAAACCTTTATACCACAACCTATATACAACTTATCTATACTTATTAAAGATATATTTGAAACATCTTACAAAACTTATTTTAAAAAAATACTAAAATATGGAATGAATCTTTTCTTGATGCATTCATATTTTATATTAAAAGCAAATATGAAGCCATATTCACAAAACTAATTTCTACTTTAACTTTTGATAAACTAGCAATAAAAGCAGAAGAGTACACTTGTTTTTCTAATACTATTAAAATTAATTTTAAATAATAAGTCTTCTATTTCTATCAATATTTATCTATATATTATAATACTGTTACTCAAAATCACAATATTGACAAAATAGATAAATAACAAGTTATCAAGTTTCTTATAGCAAAACTTATTGATACTGATTTCCTAGCTCAAGTCATTACATACTTTGACTGCATATAAGCCAACTCTCCAAATTATTCTAAAATAACTAAATTCTATAAAGAAAAAGTCTTATCAGAGGCAAAAACAATTTTATATAATAAATTCAATATCAAATTTAAAATACTTATTTCAATTGAGAAGTTACTCTTCTTAAAAAATAAAGAAGTTTCTTTTTAATAAAATCTTCTGTAGTACTCATAAAAGCAGCTATCACTTCTGAAATTATGATATTCTCTATTAATAATAGGCCATTTCCAGAAGAGAATGATATAAGTAGACAGATAGTTAAGTTTATTTATACAGAGAACCAAGTTAATAATAACCAGACTTAATATACAGAGCAGGCTATAGTACTCTTTACAGTTGTAAGAGCTAAGTATATAGTGAGTAAAACTACAGAAGAATTTTCTACTTTCTTGAATCTCATTTTATTATCTTATAATATTAAGGAAGCTTTGCAAGAACTAATTCACAAGACATTATATGATCTAGACTCTTGCTATAACTAATAGCTAGCATGTTTGAACTTACTCCTATATTTATATCTACAAATACTTGACTTCTTTTTAAAACACATCTATTAATACAACTTTACGCAATATAATAACTTTAACTATGCACTCAAAATATTAATCAAACTTAACTATAGTGAATATTATATATATTTACTATATATATTTCAACCTTTACCTAGATATTTATTTTCACAACTATCAGATTATACTTACTATTTATCTATATCTATCCCTTTTAAATTTTTTTTAATAAACAATAATACATTTTTTTTTTTTTTAAATATTAAGATGAGTACTTGTAACTCAGATTTTATTAATAGTATATTTGACTAATAAATGCTTTACAACTACAGAGAACAATCATAAAAAGAGTATACAACTAGTCACTTATACAACTTTAGTCATTGTCTAATTTAAGTAGTCCGCTCAAAAGTTTTATACTAGCTGCTATACCTGAAACCTGCTTGTAGGTTCCTTATTTAACCACTCTAGTTTCTGTATCCATCCATCTACTTTTGCCTACCAATGAACCTGGCTGATATCGATAAAAATATACTATGACTACTAAGTCTTTAAAGCAGTTCATTCATATGGCAAACCTTTGACCTTGTACTAAACCTTTTAGAATCTTCTGTATTCTATTCTTATAACTGATCTGATATTACTATAGTGGAGACCAATACTGACAGTCAGGGCATATCATTAAACTGTTATGCCCTTGTAAAGTTCACCCCAACCTTGGTACTAACTTCACAACATATCTTTATTACTTTGGTATTCAATTAAAGTTTCACTAAACTGCCAAATCAAATAGCCTAAAAAGGCAGAATATAACTATATGTTGTATTCCAGATACAAATTGGCCCAATTATCAATTAGAGCAGCCCAGATTGCAATTTGATTTTGGGCTACCAATTTTGCCTCATATGCAAATTGCAAATAATACTTATATTTTTAGAAAATAATAAGTAATATATAATTAATACTATATGCAAATTGTAGATTATATTTATATTTTTAGTAATAATTAATTACTGGTTTAAATTATTTTATAATAATATATAATAAATATATTTTATAAAAAAATTTTTTAAAAAAATTTATTATAAAGTTTAATATAAATTATAGTAAATTATTTTATAAAAAGCTTTTAAAAACTTTTTATTATAAAAACTATTAATTTATTATAAAAAAGTTGATTTTATAAATTGTATTATAATAAAAATTACTTCTAATTATATTATATGTAGTCTGAGTTTAAAAATACTAATTACAATAGAATTAAAAATGCAATAAATACAATAAGTAGTCTTTTTAATTTAATTTTTTTTCTTAATGGCTTTACTTAATGAATATCCTTTTTTAGTACTTCAAACATTTAATGAGATTATAGATGAATATTTACTAACTTTAAGTAACAAAAAAAGATCTAAAATGTTAATTTCAGAGAATATTGCTAATGAATATTTACAAATTTTAAATAATCCTTAAGATATCTATATTGCAAATCCTAATATGTATTATCAAGTTAAGAATAATTATTCATATTAAAGAGTTGGTAGTATTGTAACATTAATGCATAAAGAAAAATCAAATACTTGAAAACCTGTTGCTTTAAAAGAAAGATTATATTATATTATCACAGAAAAACATTTGGCTATTGAACATAGAGGTGCTAAAGCTATTTACAAACAAGTATCAGATAAATATTATGGTATAAAAAAATGCTTAGTTGATAAATTTGTTGAATAATATAAAACATGCAAATTATCTATTAGATCTTTAGCTATAAAATCTATTATTAGCAAGTTTTTATACAACAACTTCAAGTACATAGTATAAACTATAAATTGTTTAAACCTTATTTTTGTTATAAACTTATTTATCATTTAACTAATTTTTTTATTTATTTGGGTGCTACAAAGAAAAAACCTAAAAATTCAGACTTTTCCCTTTGCAACATTTAATTTTTTTTATTAGATCAATCTTATAGATATGCAAACCAGAAAAGATGATAAATTTAAATGAATAGCATATACTAGAAATCACTTTATACATTTTTCTTAAGCCCACATTCTTACAGATAAATGTGCAGCAAAAGTGCCTGTATTTTTGTTTGATATCTTTACTGTATTTAGTCTGCTGATCTTTCTACATAGTAATAACAGGTGTGAAATTATTGCAAAGATTATTAATAGTTTTACAAAATTTGGCCAAGTCTTAAAATTATCTATAGAAAGCCAAGAAAATCACAAACTCAAGATTTAGTAGATAGAGTAAACTTTGTATTAAAGGATAAACTTGGAAAATGGCTTGAAGATTGACAAAATGAAAATAATGATCTATATTAGACAGTTGGTTTGGCAAGTATAGTTTATTTAATAAATTTATTTATATGTTATGCTACTAACAAAAGGTTATTTAAGTTAGTTTTTGGTTATAAACCTCATAGTAATTGTGTTCTTCTTGACCAGATTTGGTCTCAAGGAATTAGAGATGAAAAAAATATTCCTGATAATTTTCAAATTGAAGAGTATTATAATATTCAGTTTGATAATAACAATGAAGATAATATCTAGGTAGAAAATAATGAAGATGATAACATAAATGATATGTTTAATGAAAATTGGAGTAAAAATTTATTACAAAGTGAGAATAATAACAGTAATAGCATGTTTTTCATAATGAGTATTAACTTTTTTTATAGAGGTAGAAACAAGAAACTAGATAAAAATTTATTTCAAATTTTTAGAATTCCTTATCTAATAGCATGCTACAGTATTTGGTAAGTATTAAGAGTATCTAAAAATTAAAAATACTTATTCTGAAATGTGAATTATTCAAAATTCTAGAATTTGCTATTATCACCTAGTATAATAGTAATATTAAAATAAGAAAAAAAATAATTAATTATAATTGAGTATTAAAATATTAAGTCATTCTTAATTCAACAAAAAAGAAAAAAAAAATTCAGAATTAGTTATCATTGTCATCACTACATAATGTTATGGTAATATTAGTATTGAAAATTTATAGTTATAATTAAATATTAAAATATGAAATATTCTTTAAAAAAAAAAATCAGGGTTCATCATCATCACTGTCACCTAGTATGATAAAAAATATAGTAAGTATTAAACAAAGATTTATACTTTTATTTAAAATAATGTTTATACTTATCTAAAATTTTAGATTTTGCCATAGTTGTTGCCAAACATAATAAATATAGTAAGTATTTAATAAGAAATTAAACCTGAATTTAATATTAAACTTAAAATTACTTATTTTTAAAATTTAGAATTCGCTACCATCTAATGTAAAGAAAATATAGTAAGTATTGAAAGTATTGAATGAAAAAATAATTCAAGAATAATTATTATACTTAATTCAGAGATTTTAGGCCTTACCAATGCCATCACCAAATAATGTTGTGAAAGATACAATAAGTGTTGAGTTAAAGATAATATTTAGTTGAAGAATAGAAGCTTATATGTTTTGATATTTCAAATTTTATTACTACCTTCATCTAATGGAAATGTAGTAACTGTTAAACCAGATAACATTTTAATTAAAAAATAATTAATCATGTTTACTTTTAGGTTTTATCACTGTTGCCACCTAATAAAAATATGGTAGTTATTAGTAATTAATAATAATACTTCAAATGAAAAATAACTATTTATATTTATCTTTTTTTTTAACTTAGATTTCACCACTGCTATCACTTAATAAGGATGTGGTAAAAATTATTAATTACCAATACTTAAATTTGAAATTTTAAATGATAGTTTATATTTACATTAAAATTTTTAGGTTTCACTGTTTCCATTTAATAAAAGTATGATAAAGAATAAATAAAAAATATATATTCAGTTTAAACAATTAGCTGATCATAATTTGAAAATTTTAAACTTCATCACTACTATTGCCATCTAATATAACAAATATAATAAGCTTTTAGAAAAATAATATTATTACATTAGTATTATTTTAATTGAAAAAGTAACTGTTTGTTTTTATTTTGAATTTTAGAGTTCACTACTATCACTACTGCCTAATATAGTAGTAAATGTAATTAGTATTAAGTAAGAAGTAATAACTTAATTGAAAAATATAATAACAACTTATCTTTGATATTTTAGGATTCATTATTGCCATTACCATCCAATATGGTAATAAGTAAGATTAGTATTAAATAAGTAATAATTGAAGTAATAACTTAATTAAAAAATATAATAATAATTTATCTTTGATCATTAAGGATTCATCACTTCCACCACCATCTAATGTAGTAGTAAATGTGGTTAGTATTAAGTAAAAAGTAATAACTTAATTGGAAAATATAACAACAACTTATCTTTAATATTTTAGGACTTGCTGTTACCACTACCATCCAATGTGATAATAAGTAAAATTAGTATTGAATAAGTAATAATTGAAGTAATAACTTAATTGGAAAATATAATAACAATTTATCTTTGATCATTAAGGATTTGCCACTTTCACTATTATCTAATGTAATAGCAAATAAGGTTAGTATTAAGCAAGCAATAACTAAAGTAATAACTTAATTAGAAAATATAATAACAACTTATTTTTGATTTTTAAGATTTGCTACTGCTACCATCACCAAATATAACAATAAGTAATGTTAGTATTAAGTAAACAATAACTGAAGTAATAACTTAATTAGAAAATATAATAACAACTTATCTTTGATCTTTTAGGATTCATCACTATCACTATTACTCAATGTAGTAATAAGTAAGCTTATTATTAAATAAATAATAACTGAAGTAATAACTTAATTAGAAAATATTATAACTAATCTTTGAACTTTCAGAGTTTGCTACTGCCACCATCACCCAATGTAGTAGTAAGTGTAGTTAGTATTAAGTAAAAAGTAATACCTTAATTGGAAAAAATATAATAACAACTTATCTTTAAATTTTAGAGTTTGCCACTGTTACTACCATCTAATATAACAGTAAGTGTAGTTAGTATTAAGTAAGAAGTAATAACTTAATTAGAAAAAAATTAATAACAACTTATCTTTGAATTTTAGGGTTTGTTGCTGCTATCACCACCTAATGTAGTAGCAAGTATAGTTAGTATTAAGTAATAAGTAATAACTTAATACTACTATTTAGTACTGTAAAAAACCTAGTAAATATAACTAAGCATTGAATATGAAATTTAAATGTTTTTATATATTTATGTTTTATTTGCTATTTATTATTTAAATTTTTTTTCAAATTTTTCTATTTTTATTTAAATTTTTTTTTAATAAAAATTTATTTTATTTTATTTTATTATTTTATTTTATTTTATTTTATTCATTTATTTATTTGACTAAAATTTAAATTTGAAACAATTATTTTAACTCTAGAAACTACTATTAAATGATATGATCACACAAATGATAAGTATCAAATTAGTAAAAAAAATAATAAGCTATAAAAGTATTTTCCTTTTGTCTTTTGATATAAACTTGCTTGAAATGAACAAGAATTAATACTTAGTTTTTATTTTTTATTTTTTTTTAAGAATCAAGGTTTACATCCATTTCTATTCTTTTATATAACCCAAAATATTATTAAGGCTGAGATTACTAAGCATCTGAAAGTTTATACAGAAAAAATAAGGCAGCAAATAAAAAAAGAAAGAAAACATCCATGAAAATTTGAATCAAATGATTTGGTTCAGGTTTGAATTTCTGAAGTTGATCATGCTGGTATTGATCATTGATACATATTTTGTAAAGTATTAGAAATTACTAAGAATAACATATATTTTAGGATGTCAATAAGGAAGATTAAACAAACATTATTCAGCTATTAAATTGGTTCCTATTACCAAAACTTTTAGAAAATATTCAGAGCTTGTAAATATTCTCAACACTTATGTAAGTACTTGTAAAACTGCTATTCAACAAAGCTTTAGCTTTAGAACTGCTACAAAATATCTTTGCAAAGATAATTGCTTAAAAAAATATTATTAATATAAAAAGTTGAATACAACTTGTAATACTCATTACTATTCCAATAATGTTCAATGTAAAAATCAATAAAATTAAAATTTTATTTTTTTTTATATTAGTTATAATAACAAATAACTAATATAAAAATATAGTATATAATTACAGTATTATTATTTGAAATATTTATTAAATTTTTACTATTTAGTATAGTAATATTTTGGATATTTATGTGATTTGATATTTGTTTATTTTAATTGGGTAATTTATTTATAATAATTTGTAATTGGTATATAGGGCAAAATTAGTAGCCCAAAATCAAATTGCAATCTGGGCTGTTTCAATTGACAATTGGGCTTATTTGCATCTGGGGTGTAACACATACACCTCTGGTTTACATATTTGTTAGCATGTAACCTTTTTTTCTAAAATCTGACAATTCTAGCAGCCTAGTTGGTTCATTTGGTCTCTCCTTAAAGACCAGCATATTTGCCTAGTTTTACAAATTCTAGCTTTATTTTATAGATCTAGTCTTTATAGTAGTACTATTAAAAGTTCAAGTTACTTTTTTATTTGGGTCTTTCAAGTGGGCTTTTATCTTTCTTCATTTGGTTCTTATAATTTATATAGTTATAAAGACTTATTATAGATTTGCATTGCCCAGTACTAGTTTGCATTCCTTCATATAACTATAGACCTTATTCTAAAAGACAATGTTATGCAACTGTTACATAAATGTCATGTGACCTGCCAGTCATGCTAGTGTAATACAAATAACAGATATCTTATTCCAACCAATTGTGAAAGACAATTAACTATAATACAAAGAGGATTTTTAAATTTTCTGTCGATACTGGGATTTGAACTTTGGATCTGCTATTTGGAGGTTAACAACTTGACCACTTTACTAGGTTACCACACCCCTAATAAATAATAATACATTAAATACTAATTTAATCTTAAAGAATAATAAACTAGACAACACTTACTCTTAATTAGTAGAAACCATTTTAGATAGCTATAATGAAACTATTATAACTAAACAATATTATTACAACATTTAATTTAATACTTATTACAAAAAAAATTTATTTTGCAACTACATACTATTACTTTCTCATCCTCAAACTATCAATATTTTTTTATGACACTTTTATAATTTTGGCTATTCACCTAATAACTTATATAACTATACATTAACTATTTCTATTAAAAATAATTATAGTAAAGCTTATGTCTGCCTCCTATCAGAACCCAAACCTTTACCTAATTACTTTATTTTATCAGTTCAAGCTATCTAGCATTATCTAAACATTCAACTAAAATCCAAGATATTAGTACCAGATTTTATTATACCAGCATCTCTAGATAACTCATCATTATTTTTTTCATTCTATATACCTAATCTCAATATTGAACCTAACTTTAACTTTTCTTTTAATAATGACTTACTTCAACTTAACATCACAACATATAATGTGCAAGGATATAATATACAAAAAAAAAACTATTATAGAAAAATTATAGTCTAACTTATAATTTATATATAATTAGTCTTACTAAAACAAAAATCTCTAATAACATAAAAACTAAATTCTGAAA